CAGGCCCGCGAAGAGGTCATCAATGCGGGGAAGCGGGTATTGCTCTGCACACAACAGTGGGTTGACAATGACTTTAAAATCACCGCAAATCCAGAGGGAGCCGTCTTTCTTCACTATCGGAACGATAGGAGTGGCCCATGGTCTATGGGTAACTGGTTTTAGAACTCCATTGGTGACCAGGTGCTCCAGGTCCGCTTCAACTTTTGGCCTGATGGCATATGGCACAGTTCTGGCTTTCAGATATTTTGGTGGCCTATCAGGTTTAATGTTCAATGTCACAGTGATTCCCTTCATACTTCCCAGATCCTCTCCAAAAACAGCAGCATGTTTCCTTAGTATAGTGGTCAGACCGGTTTCTTCTTTAGTCATTCAGTGCACTTCTGCCCAGTTCAGCTGAATCTTCCCAAACCAAGACCTACCCATTAAGGCTGGGTAATTACCTCTCACCACAAACAGTGGCAATTTAGCAGCCTGTCCATTGAGCTCCACCTTAACATCAATAGTGCCCAACATGGGCACAGCTTCTCCCGTATACATCTTCAGAACAGTTTTTGTTGCCTTAAGCGGAAGATGCTGTAGCTTTTCTTTATTCACAGTCTCAGAGATCAGCGAGACGGCTGCACCGGTGTCCAGTTCCATGCATATAGGTTTGCCATCCAACAACGGGGTTACCCAGTATTCACGTGAGCCCACTGCCAAAGACAAAAGTGCAGTGGCACTTCTTCTTGCGATGAGGTGTCACCTTGGTCCTCCTGGGTCTGCTCTAGGGTATGCAGGATTCCCCTTTTGGTCGGCCAGACCACAGGCCTCTTTTTCTTTTGTTTACAGGCACACTCAATGTGTCCCTTTTTGCCACAGTGTCGACACACCAGGTCCTTACACCAGCATTCTGATGCCTGGTGACCCGACTAACCACAGCAGTAACATTCCTGACTCTGCACAGTTTTGTGGGTAGGTTCTTGTGACACTTAATGCACCCTAGGGGATGCACCGATGTATTGCGCCTCCTTTGTAGCCAGTTCTATGGAGACCGCAATATCAACAGCCTTCTGTAAGGTAAGCTGAGCCTCTGTCAAGCTTCACTGTACAGGCCACACACTAACCTGTCACGCAGGGCATCATTTAACATCTCCTTAAATTCAGTGTTCTGCAAGTTTTCTCAAAGCTGCTACAAATTGTACAACTGTTTCATCTTCTTTTTGGTCTCTTTTGTGGAACCGATATCTTTCAGCAATTACCAGTGGTTTGGGGGAAAAATGGGACCCCAGGATTTCCACAATGTCACTGTAAGATTTGGTCTCAGGCTTAACAGGGTGTAGTAAGCTGCGTAACAGGGAGTAGGTTTTAGCCCCTACAACACTTAAGAATATTGGCCCCTTCTTCGCTTCTGTAATGTCATTTGCAATAACAAAAAGCTCAAAATGCTCAGTATACACGTCACTGCCCTATATTCTCATAAAAAGGTTCCAGTGTCCCTGTAAGTGTAGCCATGGTTTTAGTTTCAGTTTCACAGTCAGTGCAAACAAGCAACAGCTAAAAGAGTTTGGTAGGGTTTTTTTTTCTTTTTCTTTACCTTGACTTCTACTTCCTTCTGTTGCTGGGGCAGCACAGGAATCCCATCCTCATCGCCACTTTGTCATATCCTTAGGGGCAGCAGGTTTAGGAAGAAATCACTTGAGACCAGAGAGCAGCCAGCTTACAAAGCAACCATTTATTTACAGACACTCACTGACCTGGCCAACCAGTTGGAACTGGCTGGCTATCCCCTAATAATCTAACTCAGTTGCCATAGGAACAAAAACCACAACGACCAAATACACAACAACTTAAAACAATTGTCATTATTGTTCCTAGTCCTACCAACTATGAAGTTTTCCCTGATAGCTTTAGCTTCCCTTATCGATTTTCTACACATCATAACTTCCAATGTATATCAATTGCTATTGAATTCCCCTCTTTCCATTTGTTGTACATTGGTGGGTTTTTTTAAATTTCTAATTGCTGCCTGCACTGCCCCACTGCACCAGGATGGGCTTTTGGCCAAAGTTCTAAGGCAGTGGAACACCTAACTGTGACAGGTTGGATCACAGAAACCCCCTTGGGAGCTGCCACCCGATGTGCAAAGACTACCCCTGCTTTTGTTTTCCCTGCCAGCTCAGGACTCCAGCACCCTGTCTTGCTGAGCCAGACACTCCC